AGTTACCACTACTGTGCATGTGTGTCAAGGACAGAAAGGTAGATGTGGCAGTGGAAGCTGTCAAAGACGTTTGGAGAGAAAAACAAAACAAAACCCCAACTAACCAACGATTGAATTAGTCATCGACTATTTTAATAATTGATTAGTCGTCGACTAATCATGGCAGCCCTACCTGAGATCACCCTGAGCAGATGATCCATAAAATAATACCAACCTGTGCAGTTTAAATCTTGAAACTCCACACGTTGTGTCAGATACAGAACAGAAGTCCAGTTGTTTTGTTTTGTTTATTTCCCATCATGTGATGACAGAAAATCCACAGCAGATAAACTAAAGTTAGTGTCAGACCTTATTGATTGCAGTCAGGTAGAGCTGTGTGGTGTAAGTGATGTAGAACTGTAGCCTCTACAGTCCTGTCATCAGTTACATCATCACACCTGTGAGTGCAGACACACCTGAGCAGGACCAGTTTGAAACATAATGAAAATGAAGAAATGTAGAGTTTAAAACGCGTACAGAGAGAATAAATCCTGAAAATGTCCCCCTCCCCCTGTAGAAAAGTTACTTCATGTTGTGGGATCATTCAGGCTCTGCTCTGTAGTCTCGTTTAGCAGGTCGTATGTGAGCCGTCAGATCCAAACCAGGATTAAGTCCAAAAGTGGAGAAATGGGCTGACATAGGGTTTGGATTTAAACATGTTCAAAAATTGCATTTTATCAAAATATAATGAATTAATCCCTTATCAGTGGATAATTTGAATGAGCTGTCTGAAATATAATCCTMAAAAAASATTTTGAAGCWTTTTTTGAGCAGTAGCAACAAAAACCCTGATTTTGAGGAAAAACACCTTACAGTCTGAATTTTTCCCTGTGAGCTAGCACTGCTTTTGTTTCTTTCCAACTGGGAAATCTTCATATACAAATAATATTTGAGGTTTCCTCTTTATACAAACATCAAAAATGACTCYATAAATTTACATAAACTTAAGATTCAGACCAAACAGTAGCATATTATCATACTAATGAAGTCATATCTGTGGATAAACTGATGACATCAGGATGATCCAGGTATCAAAATGTAATTACTGTATTTATTCATGTATAATACTAGAAATTTAACCCTAAAATTATCCATAAATTTTGGGGGGTAGTATTGTACATAGGCAATTGATGATTAGATTTTTTTTTTTGCTTCTTAATGTAAAACAATGATGATTGTATTATACATGAATAAATACGGTAGGTCATTTTGACCTAATTTGATTTAATCCTCATTTCGATATGATGGSTCACATATATTTTATCATTACAGTTGTGAATAATTTAAATCACAATTTTAAATAAAACATTGTATGATTGCAAAATATGCAAAATACACATTTTTTCCTCTTCATTTGACCTTTAAGTGTTTGTCAGATTAAAAGCAGACATAAAATGTAAAAAACAAACTAGATATCAAAGACATGCTGCACTGGATCTGAAGCACACATTCAGACGGCGGGGACAGAGGAGAACGGGTCAGAATCCAGAACATCTGATCACTCTCACTACTGTCCTGAAAAGATCCTGCTGACATTTAAAGACYTCTCAGTTTAAACCTTTGAAGGCGACACAAACAGYTTTTACTCCCAAATCACAGAAAACAAACCGTCGTGTGTTTACTCCTCAGGTCATCAGAGGCTTACTGAAGTTCTGGCCGAAAACCTGCAGTCAAAAAGAGGTAAGACTGTGTGTGTGTGTGTGTGTGTGTGTGTGTGTGTGTGTGTGTGTGTGTGTGTGTGTGTGTGTGTGT